TGTTTTTTTTTGGCAGTTCTTGACAATCCGTTTATATATACATATATATATATATATATAATGACTAGAAAAGGATCCGCTTGTCTGCCTTTGAAATCACTGGCAATGAGGATCCGAGAAGTTCAATCTAATCTTTTACAGCACAGCCCAACAGCCCCTGTTTGAGCGACACTCACTTTCGACCAGCTCAGCGTCTATTTAAGAGACAGCTACTGCGGTTTTTCTCCAGCCTTTTTCTCCAAGTATACCTATCAAAAGTGCCACGGGGCCCCAGTAAACAATAAAGTCAGGATGAAACATTTCTAAAGTTACTTCAACCTGCTGCGATAAAATTCCCCTCATTTTGCTAGTCAACTTTCTTTCACGAGGTAGCCATGTGTCCGAGTAGCACTTTTCAACTTCCCACTGGAAGCTTGTGCTAATTGGTGATAACATTCAAATACGATATAGACGTAAGCTGCTACTCATAAGGTTGCTGAGTAGTGCATTACGTCTTTATATATATCGCGATATCTCGAATACCATAGCGACCAAAACACGGGGCGGCCTGGTGAAGCACATTCAGTTGCTTGGAAACATCACAAACGAGAGATCCAGCTGGGTTTCAGGTGGGTCTCTTGCAAAACCAAATTTGTTTGCAAATGAGTGTAGTTCGCTAATTCATATATGATATTTGAACAGTTTTTCTCGAATTCCCACTATTTTCAAATCCCAAATCCATTTCATGGCAGTTTTCCATATGAATCCCTCCAAGTTGGGTGAACCCACTACATACTCGAAATGTTCATTGGGACCAAACCTACACCCGCTCCCGATATGCATCGGTCTCAGTTTAATCTTCATCTGCACGAGACCACAGAACTCTTCTCTATTTTCGCGGCATACATTCATTTGCAAATCAATTTGGTTTTCACGAGAGACTCAACTGAATCTCTCGTTTATAATATTCTACAACTGAATGTGTTGCACACAGGCCGCCTCATGATTCAGTTGGCACGATATTCGAGACATCGCAGTATATTTTCATAAAGGATACTACTCACAAGTCTGCTGAGTTTTCAGCAACGTGAACTTGGCATAAACGTGAACGGGTGCTGGAACACGTCGAAGGTGATCCGGCATGAACAAAGTTCAACCCATTCATCTGACAGTCATTGTGAACAATGTTCAATAAAGCTATAAGAATCGCCCACTTATTTCTCGTGTTTTTTAGAGAGCGTGACTATGCTCCGTTGTGTAGTTGCATACAGTCCGGATATGACATCACTATTTTACAGAGCTCAGTGAGCCGGCCATCTGATTGGTTGTTCCGACTGGACCGGCATGCTGCCTCTTTTATGATTGGTCGATTTCTGACACATTCTGATTTAGATTTGGCCGGAACAAATAATCGATCAAACCGTTCATATCATATTTTTTTGTAAACCTGCTTAAGGTGTTCACTCTATCAAGAAGAAACAATGTCCCGCACTTGTCTGTTTCGAAAGTGTTCACGAAATCTCAAACAAGAAGTTTCGAAGACAAAACCGATCAGAGTGGCTAAACTGACGGAGCGGATTACATGCAATAGTTGATGCTCAATTTGACTACATAGGGCTTAGAGCTCACCTAAGCAGCGCCCCACAAATTTCTACATTTTGTTTCGAACAAAGTGACCACGTACTACTCACAAAATTTTTGGAAAGTAGAGGCTCACCTTTTTCGATCATGCTTTCCCACGATGTCGCACCTGACAGGTATCCCATATGCAAGTGTATCTGAAGCGAACAGGCGTGATGGTCAAGCAGTACCATTAGATCCCCACAAGGATGGGCCTGAAAGTTGTTTTTTCTAAAAAATTTGAGCAGTCACTGTTATTTGCAGGAGGTGAAACACTAAACTCAAAATTAAGCTACGTTCTGATGGACACGGTGTTGATGTTGAAGCTGATTCCGATGACAACGTTTGCGACGCTGATAATGATGATGATGATGAAGATGATCATGGCGTCATACTATCTACAATATTACACGTGTGCAACTACATTCAGAATCCCAAGGTTGATGTGATGAGGAATACCATGCTCTAGAGTACGGTGATACGTTAAACTACTTTACAATAGAGGAAAATGTTGGTAGCTCAGGTAGCGTAAATGGTGGCTGGCTTGTTCGCTGAGCCCAGCTCAGCTCATACTTTACAGTGTATTTATTGAAATTCCTCTGACAGGTGAATCACACTTGCGGAGTGACCTTGGTCAAGATGGAAGAACTCTCGCTGACAGCAAATTGGTGATTTACTGGTTGTTGACCACGTGGCTGTTGATCTGTTCGCCGAGTTTGGCTACTGACTTGCAAACGTTTCTTCACCATACAAGGAGACATCCTCAGTGCGCAGTTGGATGATTTGTTCTTTAACTGATAACCGGGAAGTCATAGATTTGAATTCTCCCAGGGATTGACAATGTTTCTCGATGAGAATGGAACGTCTGAAAAGTGCTTGTCAGCTTTCTCAGGCACAGACTGACCTCAGTTGGAAGGCGTAATCTGGTTGGAATAACTTTCAGGTCAGAACCACCGAAATATTGCTCAACCACTGGGCGTGGATTGCATACTTTTATGGGGTATGGACGGATATTTAACGAAACGTTTTCCAACCTGGTCTGTAAGGTCAGAATGCGATATGTTTTAAACCAAATAGTATGTACTTTAAAATTGCCGACCTTGGTACGCCGTCATTGCTCATCCAAGTTGCTCACTTTACTCCCTAATTGGTAAGCAATGCCGTGGAAAGTAAACTGTGGTCACGTGCACGGTACGGCGCACAAGCCACTGTATAACTGAACCTCGTTAAAGGAGAGCCGATAGAGCAAACTACGTGTTTGGGTGTGTGGTACCAAAAAGCGTTGTCCTTTCCCACATAGTCTTTCACTATGCTGTACTGATGGACCTTTGTTTTATCAAACGTAAACAGAACTTACCAACCAATATGTTCAAACATACCATCTATGACTTACCGCTATAGATTACTCACATGCCCAACACACTTGCTTACAGGATTGCTGTTGTGGTTTAGGCCTGTTAATACTGGTCATTAATGTTTTCATGACGTAACACACTACTCATATGGTTGCTGAAAACACGTATGCAGCCCAAACCCGGTTTCACCTTTCCTGGGAGTTCAGTTCCGTCAACCTTATGTTCTACTTAGACACAAATTGTACGATTTCATTCGCACTCAATCTGACTTTAATTAGAGACTCAACAAAGTCTCCCGTTCATAATGCTCTTCAACGGAATCAACTGCACAAAGATGGTCCCAGTTTCGAGGTGTAACAGTTTGCTGAAAAGGGCTCTGCAGTACATCAGGGATTCACCTATAATTTAGTTGAGTCTCTCATGAAAACCGAAATAGTTTCCAAATTAATATATTTTGTGTATAACCATTAATTTGTTTTGTTGAGAAATTTGAAACACGAATTATTTGTTACAAAAATTGGAGACAGTATAGAGCAATGAGTTGTTGCAGGGTATATCAATTCTATTTCGATGAGTATGCTCAAGGTATACCCGGTATCAGAAAGGAAAATAGAACAAAAGAGTAGTATCTAACGTCAAGATTCCGAAGGAGTGTCAGCAATGTGAACTATTGCTTCTATTTATGAAGCTCTGGTTTGTTATTGCCACTGGATTCAACAAACTTTTGCGCCTTACTGTTCACGATGTGACTTTCAGTTGTCGAATCTTCAAGGAGCTCTTACTCACATGCCACTGTGTCCCACCCACCGAATTTGGAGATGACCCTCATTTCTACCGTTGTTGGTGTCCGCGCACCCATGCGTAAATCAATAGAAGGGGTAGTAAAACTCTGGCGGTAGGAGTCAATATTCGACCGCAGGTGTAGGTGACTACAGGTCTGATAGACTAGTATGTGCGTTTGAGGGCCAAGATAAGGCGTTCACTACTGTGCTCTGTGAATTCAAGATCAGGAAAAATTCTGATCTCATCAGTGCGCACTGATGATGTCACCTCGATTGGTGATGAAACGTTTGCAATCAAATTGCCCAACTCAGCGAACAAGCCAACGACCTGTCTATACAATGGATCGCGACATCTCGAATATTGTGACAAGTGAAACTTGAGGTGGCCTGGTACACCACAGTAAGTTGAGGAACAACATCAAAAGACGAGAGATTCAGCTAGGTTCTAGGTGAGTCTTCCATCTTAATCAAATTGGGATGCAAACGAGTGTATAAATCAAACACCTCGGTTTTATTGTTCCTGTTTTGTTTGGATTTTTCCCAAGTAGTTCAATGACGATCTCCAAAACAAGGTTTTGGTCGGCTGATGAGTAGTGTGGTGACGTCAGACGGCAAACATTTTGACGTTTTTCAGAATTCTTTATTGTGTATTCTGATTCGGCAACCGAATACCTCCATTTTCTTCATAATTCTTTCACTGGTTTCCTGTTAGTGAAGCAAGAGGTCAGAGGGGGTGGACGATGCCTGGCGATGAATCATTTGCCCCCAAATTGTTCAGCTTAGCAAAGGAGTCGAGGGCCATCATTGCGACCACAGCTACCAGTGATTACTTCAACTGGAGAGTCTGCGCAGAGTCTGACACCGATAAACTTGGTCTGAGAAGGGGGTTCTTCTCCATCTGGTTTAGCTAACGTTTTTACCAAGAATATTTTGTCGTCTAACAACGGACGAATCATAGTACAACAGAGTAAAGTGTCGGAATCTGGAAGAACTGTGTGAAAATGGTATTTTCTGGGAGGTCCCGGGAAAGATTGTCCTCTCTTCATTCAGAAAAGTACAAACCAAATCAACTGGAAAATGTTTGGGACCGATTAGGTGGTCATCGTTTCAGAGAGGTATTGTAAACAATCGGTGGATTTATTCCTGGGTAACAAAATAAAATGTAACGACTATACGAAGTTTTGTATAGGTCAGACTGCCAGGGCAATACACACGAGAGTCGGTGGGCACAAGCGATCCATTATTAGACCACCGAGAAACGTGGATGAATGTCAAGCGATAGTCAAAGATTCGGCAATGGCAAGGCATGCACTACACACTGGGCATAGGATAGATTTAGAAAATGTGGACATCCTGAGACGGGGTTTACGATTCACACCACAGCGATTGGTCGCCGACGCGGTGGAAATCGCCAAGCATTCCAGCGTAAATAGAGCTTGCAAGCGTGTGGAAAGCTGTTTTAGATCAGCCGAGAAGACACGACGCGGTGTGCAGTTATCAGCGAAATAGTCTGGGTCTAAAAGTACAAAATCCAAGTAGACTTAGATCCAATTAACCACCCCACCCCCATCCTCAAACCAATTGCCCCGGCCTCCTTCAACGAACACAGGTGAACGAAATCTTTGAACGACCCCAAGAGGAATTTTTCATTAAGGTGTCCTAGACTGAAGAAGCAGGGACGAAAAAATCCGGGTTCATCATAAAGACGAATCCTCCCAACCAATCTATTGTACATCTTAGTCATCCCCACTAATCAACAAACAGGAACATCAGACAGAATACGCAGCAATGATCAAGTTGGCCAGTCATAAGAAATCTCACGGATTGGTTCCCTGACTGCCTTGAAGCTCAACCAACTTAGCGAAACACTCATCTGCAAACTAATTCGGTTTTTCGAGAGATTCNGAGACTCACCTAGAACCCAGCTGAATCTTTTGTTTGTGATTTTTACAGGCAACTGAATGTGCTGCACAAGGCCGCCTCATGTTTCAGCCGCTACGATATTCGAGATATCGCGATACATGTATATTCGTAATGCACCACTCATTAGGTTGCTGACAACGAATTTCACCAATCAACCTACTTACTTACTCACTTGGCCTGAGGAAGCTTTTGTGTCAAAAGCGAAACCTTGCCCAGCAATAATTTCACCGATTGTTTGCAAACCCTCTCTGATACAAACCAAATATTTCTATACTTCAGAAAAAGTGACTGCTGTTCGGCCTGCCCATGCATTCTGCATGACAAACTTACACGCAATGAAGGTCGTTTCCGAAGGAGAGGCAAGTACACAGGATCATCCATTGTCAATAATCTTGTGGACTTGTCTACATCCTGATGTTGGCGAGTAATTCGTATTGGCATGTTCCAGCCTATATATTCCCGCAAGCCATCGGACCAGTCCGGCCACATCCGACTCAGGCGTGCGTGGATAAACCGAAAAGATGCATTGTGTCCGACTTCTGGGTTTAGAATTGCCAACAGAGGCTCGAGATCATATTTTACCTGAAAGGAATGGACGTAAGACAGTGAAGGGGACAAACGGGTGACGGGACTATCAAACTAAAACAGTGCTTTCACCTTACAAGAGACATGTACGTATTTAGACATGGAATGCAGCTGATGTGTGGGTTACCCCATAGCATCTATCCAGAGGTAACTTTGTAGTACACTTGGCAGAATTTAGTTACCCCCTCAGGAGGCTAACTCCCTAAATCGTGCTTTTTTCTTGATACCCATCAAGCTGGATGATCAGGGAACTTTGGAGAACTTCCCATCGATCGTTGTAATTTTTCAGCAAGTGATGGATGCTTCGTATTCCAATATTTGACCAGTCCCGAGCTTGAACACTATTGAGCCTCACAAAGTACTCTGAATGTGGTTAAACAGTGCTCAGTGATCATGCTTGTGGTGCAATGAAAGAGTGAGCATCACTCCCAGTTCAAATAGGACCATTTAGCCGATCAATAACCTACTGCTGAACATCACTCAGCATCCGGGTTGATGGACCGTAAATTGCTCTACAGTTGGTCATCAACTACATGGATGTTTAGATAAACTGTCCAGGTTTGTTCTGGCAGTATTTCTCACCCGGTAACTACGTCACACAGTTCCTTCCTCTTCGGGGGATTGGTGCTTTTGAGGCTGTTATTGGTAGTTGATCAGGTGTGCAGTTTGGTGCGCACTGATTATATCTCCTTGTTTGGTGACAAAACGTGCCAGAACAGATAAACAGCTATCTGGTCAACGGCGGATAAACACACAAAAGCTACCAGTATTTCGACACGTTGCAAATGCCTTTTTCTTATGCATAGGAAGGTTTTTCTTTGCTGCTTGAGGTTTCCTTGAGGTGGAATCACCGCTTGTTAGGAACGTTCACAACCGTTGGAAGATATGAACGTTCTGGATTGATGACTCGTCTACCATAAAGGCCTGTTGGAACCCGGTTGATCCGCTTCCTTGTTTGGTTTCATTAGATGGAGTGAATGGGTCAATCACGTGACGCCTTGACCGGCATATCTGAATCAAGTCTCTGTAACGCATTTGAAACTCGAATGTATCTGCTTGCCCGTTTCTCATATGACCTTATACGTGCCCCTCCCTTTCTCTCTTCCCCCATTGCAGGTACCACGGACGAATCACCACGGGCCCTGGACAGGGAAGAGTACCCCACTTGTACACCCCCTAACTGACCTTGACCCGACCCTGTACACACCCCCCGCTTCCGGTTTCGGTTTCGCTCAATACACGTGTGTCGTTACCACACTCCGGCCTTCTCCCTTGTTCCACCCGACCTGTGCGCATGTGTGCTGTGTATACTGTGTGGATTCAGTAATACCAGTCCGTATATCTGCATATTTCAGAACTGACGTGTGCCGTCCTCTCGAACGTCGAATACCGCTGACTTCCCGACATCCCACGCTACACTCAACTAACTATTCCGTGCAGTTGCCCAATATGACCTTGAGCGAGTGTTTGAACCAGCCAACTATTGACCTGTTGTTGCGGTCAGACTACTGGTTTAATCTTCAATTCTTGATTACCAATCTATAGTTGCACCGAATACTCGTAGTAAAAGTGTAGTAGTCCGATCCGGAAAATGCTATCTATAATTAGAGGTGTGAGAGATTGGTCACGTGTTTCTATGGGCTGGACTACTGACCATCAACCCGATTGTGAAGCAGCTGAATCTGTCTATAGATTGGATTATCAGTCATTTTGTGCTATCATTTACTGGTGAATGACCCAAATTAATGGGTTAGAAGTTCGAAAAAAGTAACAAGATACTATCAAGAAGTACACGCATTTGGTTTTCACGACAGACTCAACTGAATCTCTCGTGTATGATATTCTCGGAGACTGTGCCTTCCTGATGAACCCGAAGAAGGGCGAAACCGGTCGTGGGCTGTGGGAGAGTTTTCAGCAACCTTGTGAGTAGTTTTCTTTATGAAAATATACTGCGATATCTCGAATATCGTGCCAACTGAATCATGAGGCGGCCTGTGTGCAGCACATTCAGTTGTAGAATATCATGAACCACAGATTCAGTTGACTTTCGTGTAAACCAAATTTATTCGCAAATGAGTGTATTTCTCGAAAAGAGCTCAATTTGGATTCAAGTAGAACATAAGGTTGACGGAAACTCGGGGACTGCGCCTACGTGATGAGCCCCAAGAGGGGCTAAACCGGCCGTGGGCTATCGAATAGTTTTCAGCAACCTTGTGAGTAGTTGCCTTCACAAAAATAACAAGATGCTTGTCCACCAAAATGCCTCAAGAATGCACTCACCTTGATTCTGGACAACAACTGTTTGCGTACATATTCCAAGTCGGTTTCTTGGGAGCGCAGAAATGACAAGTATAACATCTCTGCAAACAATAAAATCGCAGAAATGAACAGGTAGAGTTTTATCAGTCGAGTCACCCCAGTCGGTGGGCTGCGCAGAATGGTACGCATGATAGCACCAAATGCCTAGTTTGAGAAAGCAGTGAGAATTAGGTGTTTGGTTGAAATCATTCGATTATGACGCGCCATCATTCGTGGCCAGTCTAGTTCGAGCTTACGCTGGAGAACGACAAAGCCGCAATCTTCCTGCGCGGAACTTCGCGAATTCCGGGCCAGTGATTTGCCCCAACCACCTCCAATGGTACGTCGAAACGTAGGCTACAACAAATGACCAATGACAGTCGGACAGATACATTGTGTGCGCTGTGCTCCACCATGCGCGCTACGTACGAAAACGAGTAACTGGCAAAACCATTCGGATCAATCAACTTCCGCCGAACAAAAATGCACGTTTATGATGGTGACTGGAGCCGTTTGACCTATGGCTTAATTCCTTGACACTGGAAAAACTGAGCTTCCAAGTTGTGTCTTCTCTCAGAGATATTGTGTTGACAAGTCCGGCGGTGGCTATACTCTAAATTTGCTCAAAATGTATTACCTGAGTTTCATCTCCACCGACCCAAGAGTCTGACCAGCACTCCGCGTGGGACCTGTGTTCTGGACGAACGCTAGGTTACATTTTGAACAAAGTTCTCGCTTGGTAGCCGGCGCATTGCCCGAAGTTGGCCGGATGCACCCTCAAAATAAGATGGACTGAAGCACAGAGAAAGTTCCAGTACCACTCGTGAGATGAAAACTACAAGGATCCGCGTCCAATCTGATTGATCTGGTGCTAACCAAGTCCATTTTCCAACTAAACACCATTTTTGAAGTAGCTGTGAGGAATTGAAAATGAACTCTGTGTTCATGAGGGACACAACTGAGGTTCACTTGAATCTCTTGCCCAAAATGTCAGTAGTATTACTGTTATTCTTAGGTTAGGTTCAGGTAGATTTCATAAACGTCTCTTTCACAAAGAAAGGTGTTTCCCGAGTGACTCACTCAGCTGAATCTCTCGTTTGTAATGTTTCCAGGCAACTGAGTATGCTGTACCAGGCCG